CAAAGAATGAAATAAGATTGGTTTGGCAGGATCTGTTTTTGACAAACCCATGCTGGCTACTGGTTATAACTTTGTTTGCTTCTAGTTGTTCACAGATCTGTTTTTTGTTATCTTTTCCAGGATCTTCCCAGGTACTGATATTAGATTGATTGGTCTGTAGTTTCCTGGGTCTGTTTTTTCCCCCATTTCTTGGAGATGGGAACCATATCATCCCTTTTCCAATCATCAAGTACTTCCCTGGTGCTTCAGAGTTTTGAAAGATATGATGCAATGGTTCTGAGATAACTTCTGCCAGCTCCCTCAGAACTCTGGGATGTAATCTGTTGGGTCCCAATGATTTATATTCGTCAAGGTCAGATAGGTGTTCTCTTAGCATTTTCTTGCTTATTTTAATTTTTGTTTCTAGTCTGTATTTTGCAATAGTGTTTTTGGTATGTTGGGCTATACTTTTTTGTGTGTGAAGACTGAAGCAAAGAATGAATTAAGCAGCTCTGCTTTCTTCCTACTGCTTGTTATTTCCTTGCCATCTTCTCTCTTAGTGGACCTACAGTTTCCTTGACTTTTTTCTTGTTATTAATATGTTGAAATAAACTTTTTTTATTGTCCTTGATTTCTGTTGCAAGTCTTTGTTCATTCTGAGGCTTTGCTTTCCTGACTTTATCTTTCCATGATCTGTCTGCTGATAATCAGCCTTAGTTATGTGTCCCTCTTTCCATTTTTTGTACTTGTCCTTTTTGTCTTTCAGTTTGTCAGAGAGAGCTTTGTGCAGCCATGCTGGTTTCTTTTTGATTTTCTTGTTTTTCTTTTTCAGTGGTATTGTGCTGGACTGGGCTTTTATGATCATATTTTTCAGAGTTTCTCATGCTTCTTGGGTTGTTTTCCTTATTAGGATTTTCGTCCATGGAATTTTTCCTACATTCTCTCTGAGTTCGTTAAAATCAGCTCTTTTGAAGTTTTAGACACTTGTTAGATTATTTTCTGTTGCTTGTGTTTGCATTACATTGAATTTCAGTAACTTCAACTCCTTCTATCATTTCTTCTCTGTTAGTAAGAATTAGGTATAGAATAGAATAGAATAGAATAGAATAGAATAGAATAGAATAGAATAGAATAGAATAGAATAGAATAGAATAGAATAGAATAGAATGCTTCTAATTCCCTCCTCCACATTTTGGATGATAAAGTTGTCAGCTAGGTTGGTTAAGAATCTGTTTCATCTCCCACTCTCTGCAGAGATTATGTCCCAATTGATATCTGGATATTTGAAGTTTCCCATTACTACTGTGGTATGTAAGTTTGTTAACTGGTTGGCAAAGAGTTCATCTATTACTTCTGATTGGTTGGGTGACCTGTAATATACACCTATGGCAATGTCACTTTTTTTCCCTTTTATATTGACCCATATACATTATGGAGGAATTTTATTTTTGATCATGTGCATTTCTGTAGATATGTAGTGCAACTCCCCTCCTCTTTTTGTAGATCTATAATAATAATAATAATAATAATAATAATAATAATAATAATAATAATAGTAGTAGTAGTAGTAAAGTTGGAAGGGACCTTGGAGGTCATCTAGTCCAACCGCCTGCTCGGGCAGGAAACCCTACACCATTTCGGACAAATGGCTGTCCAGTCTCTTCTTAAAAACTTCCAGTGTTTCTATCCATTCATCAATATATTCCAGTCATGGGTTTCATCCCACTAGGTTTCTATAATGCCAATTATGTCATACCTGCCCTCGTGTACTATTGCTTCTAGTTCACCCTGTTTGTTCTCCAATTTTTGAGCATTTGAATATAAGCATTTAAGACCTTTATGCCTGTCCATGGGCATGTTTCCTGCATCTCTTGATGGTTGTTTGAGTTTTTCTTTGTTCTCGTCACTCCCTAGCTTATTGTTAATTTGTTTTCTTGGGATTTATGACTAGTTTTGTGTTGGGAAATGCAGTCCATGGTCCAGGAAATCAAAGTTTTCTTGGTAAAACCAACCCTTTAGCTAGTGGTTTATTTCTAGAATTCTTTTTTCCCTCAATGGGGTTTGGCCTTTCATTGAGAATACTGATGAGAACACTACTTGTGCTCCTAGCTCTTTAACTTTATTGCCTAGTTGCTCATAATCTATCAATAATGTACTCAGGTTCTTTGTTGTGTCATTTGTCCCAATGTGAAGGAGGAGGAAAGGGTAGTAATCTGTGGGCCAAATTATTTTGGTTTGGTTCTTTGATTTTTGCTCTAGGGAGGCAACATACCTCCTTCATTTGTATGTCTGGTCTGCAGAAAGCTGCAGATAGCTGATTCTGTTCCTTTTACCAACACTTGCCTTCCTTTTTTGGGGAGTGCAGCTGAACGGGCAGGGAGGGGGAGCAGGATGGGAGGCAGCGGCTCCGGTGGTGGTGGCATGGCCGCCACGTTCTCAGCCAAACAGGCAGGGAGGGGGAACAAGACAGGAGGCAGTGGCTCTGGTGTGGTGGCGCAGCCCAACTGCCATGTTCTCAACCGAATGAGGGGGGAGAGGGAGCAGGACAGGAGGCAGCAGCTCTGGTAGCAGTGGCGCAGCCCAGCTGCCACCCCTGCCACATCCTCAGCCACTTTGCCATCGTAAGAGGAGGGCCCCAAGCCCGGGTGCACTATGGGCAGCTGTGCCGGCAATGGGGAATGCTGCTGTGGGGACATCCTGACCCACTGCCAGCCCCACCGCAGCCCAAGGTCTCCTTCTCCTGCAACACCGAGGGTAGTAGCAGTGGTGGCAGCAGCAGCGGAAGGACGACAAAGTGACATGGTTGCCCACTCACCACCGCCTCGCTCAGTGCGACCGACAGCAGTGGCAGTGGGAGGACGGCCAAGAGGACCACGCAACAGCTGGGGAAAGGGCCAGGCAGGCACTGTGGGGGGAATACGCTGCCCGTGAGATGCCCAAAAGGCGCAGGCAGAGAGAGGAAGCTCCGGAGGATCTTCCATACCAGTCATACCAGTGACCCCCCCCCCAACTAACAGAGGCAGTGGCGGAGCAGGGCAAGGGGAGACCTGCCAGGCAGGGAAGAGGCACCTGAGACCGGCCACCTGCGGCTCCTTACCAGGGACACTTTTCCAGCAATCCTCCTGGCCACCACGTGCAGTACGAAGAAGGAAAGAGGTTTGTAGGCAGTCACACAAACCAAAGAATTTCAACCAATCAATTCAAAATTCATGAGAAGTTTGAATTGATTGGTTGAACTTTTTTAGTCCCATTTTTTTTTTCAGACTGCACATGGTGGCTGAGGCATGCGGCTCTGGAGCCGCGGGTTGCTGACCCATGATCTAGGGGGAGAAATTGATTGCTCAGTTTTAGTGAGGATGCTTCTGGTTGGATTGGATTGGGCAGAAGGGGGTTGTTAGTTGTATGCTAACATATGTTCTTTGAGTATTGTGTTTCCTTCTATGTGTGACATACCTCCATTTGTCTTCCTCCAAGAGTTTATTAGTAGGATCAAGTCCTCTGGGTGTTATTTGGTTCAGTTTGGGTAGAGCTTTCTTTTGTACATTGGGGTTTGGCTAGAGTTGCCTCTAAGTTCCTTACTTTTTCCTCTAGTAGTTCACATAGTTTACATCTAACGCATGTATAGTTTGGGTGTTCTTTGGGCATGAGCACATACATGGAACTTGTATTGCATACCACAATAGGGTCAATCATTTGTTCCATGAGTATGTTGTTTGAAAATCCTTCTTTTTGGTTGGTGGATGTGCTTTGCAGTTAGCCTTGTTTCCAGCATCTCTGTTTTGGGTAATTATGCCTATTTTTCTGTCCTTTTTTCTGCCTGTTTGTGCTTGTTTTTCTGCCTTGCTATTTGGTTTAGATAAGTATGTGATGGTATGCCCTTGGATTTTAAAAGAAAAAAAATGCAGTTTATATTGAAGTTAAGAATTAATGTTGGAATAGGGCTATTTAACAAAGGGAAGGGCTGCTTTCTCCTCCACAAGGAATTTGCTTTTAGCTTTCTGCTCTCTGCCTAAAAAAAATCTTTCCTTTTCTTAATTTGTTCCTTATTTATCTCTGTTCTCTCTGCCTTGGTTTTGACTGCCTTTCTGTGCTCAGCCAGTCTGTCTAGCTGCCCCCAGTTGCCTCCAGCCATTTCTGGTGAACAGGTTTAGTAGCCAGGCTTTCTTTGCTGAGCCTTGCCACCTACTGCCTCCATCCATTGGTCCATCTCCAGCTGTTGCTTTGTCTCTGATGTTCAGCCTGGCTCTCTTGAGCTACCAGTCAGGTCCTCCACTGCTCTGTCGCCTCTATTGTGGTGCCTTGGCACCACCTGTAGGCCTTCCAGTCCATCACTGCCACCACCCACTGCCTCTGCACTGCTCCCAGCAACCTCATTGGTCCATAGGTTCGTGTTGTTGCTGGCTGCTGCCTTTGCACTGCCCCCAGCTGCCTCGCCAGTCAGTAGCTTTGTGTTGCTACCAGCTGCCTCTTCTCCCCCACTCGAGCTGCTAGCATGCCCCGTTGCCCGGTTTGCTGCGCCGATCTCTGCTTTGTTGGGCTGGGTTGGGTGGCTGATCCACCAGGCCTTTCAGGTAGGCCTCTGTAGGCCTAGAGGTCCTGCAATGTTCCCTTTGTGATCCTGTGTGGCTGCTCTGTTGGATGGGGGACTGCTCTGGTTCCTTTTTGATGAGCTCCAGTCTCTTGACAGGCCTCTCAGGAGCTGCTGGGCCTCTCAGCAGGCAAATTGTTGGTGTTTTCCTCCTGATTCCCTGAGTCTTTTCCTCTCCTTTTCCCTTCTCCAGTCTTTTTTCTTTTTCAATGACCTATTTTTTCTTCTTGACTTCTCCTATTGTTTTATCTTAATTTACTCACAACTTTCCTCCCTGCAATGTGAGCATGCTTCCTCTGTTGCCACCATCTTGAAAACTCATGATTAAATGATTGAATATGTTCTAAAGAGAATCACATATAAGAAAAATATTTTCTGTTTGATTTTTTTCTTTATTTGAGTATTATTATGAGGAAACTCATGTTCTAATTCCATATTTACTAGGGCTTGACTTTCAAATATTCTTATTGCAATATGTATTTATTTTACATTGCACATATTTGTACATAATACTCTCACTTTTTACAGAACCCCCTCAAATTGTTTCAGTAAAACTCTGAAATGCTCTTCTCCACTTGCCTAGCATTTGCAGAGCACAGTTAATAGTGAAATCATAAATAAACCTTTATCTCTCGGTCTGTGGAAGAAGAGGCCCCTGTGGTCTCTACATTGAATATACTTAAAGGCAATATTCTAGAAATAATTATTCTTCATCAATAAAGGTAATTTTCTCCAAAGATTAATAATTTCTTTGTTGTCAGAAGTCCTTATTTAGTTAAGAGATTTTGTATTACTTTTTGTATTAATCAATTCGATAACATTATTGTAAATGTTGTAAGACATGAAAAAAATGTTGCTATTTTTAGTTCTTATTGAAAAGATAGCGTGGAAAAATCTACATCTAACACAACTTAACTACACATTTAATATATTTAATCCAAGGTATAAGGCTCTTGTGGTGTATCTTTGAAAATACTTTCTTCCAAAAGTGATTTGTCTTACAATCATGGCACAACAACCAAGCACAAATCCAGTGCCAAAGCAGCAGTGCCAGATTTACAGTGGGCATCTACTAGTAACAATATGGTGAAATGTATGAGTTTCTGTGCAATGTTTAATAAGGCATCAGGTTTCAAATTTCATCTTTTCTTCCATGTAAACCCAGAGTTTTTTGTGGATGCTAAATACATTGGCAATTTTAAAAGTTTAATATTTGACCTCCACATCTATCATTAATACTAGGAGCTTTAATTAGATCCTAGTATTAGAATTGACTTCTTCCCATGGAGGACAGAGTACAGCAAGCCCCAGTCCCAATATGCAAAAGATCGTTCAAAAGGCCTTGCAATTTTTTTCTTAAATACGCTTTTTTCAGAATTTGATACTTATGGTAGGAGGGAAAGAACTGGGAGAAAAAGTCAGATATTGAAGACGATCCCAAAACATCTTTTCATCTTCATTTCTCTCCAAGTAGGAATTTAAAGTCCGAGGATTTGGAAAGCATCTCGCAGGTCATCAATTTCATAAAGAGGCTGTGAATCAAGGAGAAATAAGTGATCCAAAAGCAATTGTGAGAATATGAGATACGATGACAAAGAAGAATAGTAATAAAGAAAACATCAAGAAAATGTAGGAAGAGCTGGGAAGTGGAGGGAAGGGTATGAATAAGAAATTAAGGCAAGAGAAGAGCAAATAGAAGGCACTGATTCTGCTTACACTGATGAGAAGTGAGAGAAGATCAATGAAGAAGAAGGAAGCTCAGTGAGAAAAGTAAATACTCACCAAAAGAATACGCTGGAGTTGTCTGGTAAGACGCACAGAATTTTCATGAAGCCCTTCCCAGGCTTTGAAGGTTTTTTTGCGGTTTTCCACAAAGGTGTTCCAGCAGTAAAAATAGTCTGATAAGAAAGAGTCATGAAACATTTAAATTCAGTTAGATGTTATCTCCTTAGGCTGCGCAAATCTTTTGAAAGAGTTGCTTTGAGAATTCACGGGAGCATGTATAAAACATCTCTTTTGAAATAAAGCAACTCTCTCTTCACTGGCTCACTTGATTCTTTTAGCTGTTCCCACCTGTCTCCCCATGCTAATCTTTTGAAGGATTTGCACAGCCTTTATATCATGGGTATCAAATTCATCACGTGACGTGTCATGACGTATTGCAACTCTTTTTGTATTGCTGGCAATGGGGTGGGCGCGGCTTCGGTATGATGAAACCGGCCTGTGGGCCCGCAGTTTGACACCCCTGCTTTATATTCATCTGACAAGTATAATTAGTTTATTTTGTTTCAAGGTCATAATGCAGATAGCCCCTAAGTTTCATTGTATGATATTACCTCTCTTTGCCTAATAACTAGCAGAATTTAATCTGTATTAAACTAAATTAAATTAATTTGAGGGAGACCAATCAATCAAATGGTAAGAAGGGAACTAAGATACAAAACAAATGAAACAAACACAGGATCAGTCAAAAGGGATCCAATGCTATACATTAATGTTTGAAGTATGCGGAACAAACAGGGCCAACTTGAAGCCTTAGCACATGGGGACAAGTATGACATTGTTGCCATTACTGAAATTTGTGGGATGAAGGAAGGCAGATGTGATTTTGGAACCACTGAAACATATCTGTCAAGGATCCTGGAGTACTGAGGAACTAATAGAGGGCTAGATGTGTTTCCAATTTTCAAAAGGGGGGGGGGAATGGATCTAGGAAACTACATATCAATCAGCCTGACATTAATATCTGTGAAGATTCTGGAAAAGATAATCAAGCAATGGAACACATTGAAACAAGAACAACACATAGAAACAAACAAAGCTATTTTCAGAAGCCAGTATGTATTTGTTAAAAACAGATTATGCTAGACAGCCTTTTTTGCATTCTTTGACAGTGACAAAATTAGTAGACCAGCAAAATGCTCCAGACATAGTATACTTAGATTTCATCAAGGCACTTCACAAAGTAGACCACAACCTACTTCTTGGTAAGACAGAAAAAATGCAGCATAGACACCACCAGATGGATTCATAACTGGCTGACCAACTGCACTCAACATGTAATCCTTAATGGAACTACATCCACATGGAGAGAAGCATTGGTACTCCAATGTTGTATCTTAGACCTAGTACTCTTCAGTATCTTCCCCTAGATGAGAAAGGGAGGTCATCAAATTTTTAAATGACTCCAAGCTCTGGTAATAGCCCAAACCTTAGAAGATAGGCTCAAGCTCTAAAAGAATCTTGTTGCGGCATACCCAACAAAATGCAATTCAGTAGTGAGAAAAGTAAGCTTTTACACTTACTGAAGAAAAATCAACTTCATATGTATAGAATAGGTGGCATCTGGCTCAACAACAGTTACTATGAGAAGGACCTAGGTCTTCTAGTGGCAACCACTTAAGTATGAGCCAGCAATGTGCTACAGCTGCCAAAACAGCCAATGCAGGCTAGGCTGCATCAACAGAGGGATAGTATCAAGAGCATGTGAAGTGCCAATACTGCTTTATACTGCAGTGATAAGACCAGACTTGGAATACTGCAGTTTTGGTCACCACAAAAAAAAAAAAAAAATGTTGAGACCCTAGAACAAGAAAAGCAACAAAGATAACTAGTGGACTGGAGGCTAAACTATACAATGAACAGTTGTGTGAACCATGTATGTCTAGTGTAATGAACAGAAGGACTAGGGCTGATATGATAGCAGACTTCCAATATTTGAGAGTCCCTCACAGGGGATAGATCTGTTCTCCAAAGCACCTGAGGGCAGGATAAGAAGTAATGGAAGATCATTAAAGAGAGATCTAACCTAGCATTAAGGAGAAATTTTCTGTGAGAACAATTAATCAGTGGAACAGCTTGCTTCCAGACGTTGTGGGTGCTCTATCACTGGAGGTTTTTAAGAAGAGATTGGGCAGCCACTTTTCTAGAGTGGTATAGGAACTCCTGCTTGAAAAGGCGGTTGGATTAGAAGATCTCCAAGATCCCTACCAACTCTTGTTATTCTGTATTTTAATTATGAAAAAAGTGGTATTTTCCTGACCTATTCTCAATACTATTCCCCCCTCAATATCCTTTTATTAGACTATTTTATTACTTCCAGTGAGGGGTAATTGTGGTTTCTATACTATACCAAGCTATGTCTGTTGTACTCTAGTGGCATAATTAGTTTTGCTTCTGAAATCTCTTCAGGTTTTGGATTTGCTTTTGAAATTTCTTGAGATTGCAGGTAAACAAATCAAAATTTTACAAGATGTCATCTTTTAATTCTACAACAATTTTCAATTATTTTAGTTCTTAATTTTACAATTCCATGAATTTTGTAAGGGATTATTACAGATGCCATAATGCTGACTCTTCCTTTACAGCATAGGTGGTCCAACCTTTTTGGCTTGCCAGGGCAACATTAAGTGAAGAGGAAGTGCCTTGGACCTCATATAAAATATATAATATAGTTAATGTATAGGTAATATAATGTATCCCACAGTCTCTGGGTTGGACATGTCTGCTTTACAGTGTTGGCTATATTTTGCAGTCACAATTATTTATTATTCTAGATGCCATCATTCTGCAATATCTTACCTTTGAAGGTCATGATGGCAATCTGAGCTCCTGCACGGTGTAGACGTCTCAAGCCTTCAGGCTCAGCATTCCTCTCCTCACAGAAGTACAAACGGGCAGCAAAAATGCGCAGTGTCAGATTAGGATATGCACACAAAAAGTCAGCCACATGCCGGGCACAATCATAACATGGGCTCCAGGAGGTGAACCAAGTGATACGATAGCAGTGTCTTGGATCCAGATCCCAAGTGGAAATGTAACGTAGGAAGAGAACTTCAACATGGCAACCTGACTAAATAGCAATGGTACAGAAAAAACTGGGATATGACCAACATACAATGAAAGGCAGAGCCTATAAAAAAAGGATATAAGAGAAATCTAAAGGTTCCCCAGATTAGGATTGAGTTGCTCAATCTACAAATAAAAATTGTATGATCAGGAGTATCACATTTTCTTACATGACACCATGTCAAGTTGCTAGTGAAAACTTATATGTATGATTGATACAGTGGCGGGATTCAGCCAGTTCATACCACTTCAGCAGAACCAGTAGCTAATTTTTTTGTTGCCCAGGCATAGAATGGACTTCCAGAAGTGGCATCCACACAGAGAACCGGTTGTTCACATATTTGAATCCCACCACTGGATTGATTCCATCCTATATCTACCCTCCTTCATACATGGAAATAATATTAAGCCAAAGAATATCAGTTATCTATCTATCTATCTATCTATCTATCTATCTATCTATCTATCTATCTATCTATCTATCTATCTATCTACCTACCTACCTACCTACCTACCTACCTACCTACCTACCTATCTATCTATCCAGTGCTTTTTTTTTTTTTTTTTAAAGGTGCCGGAACTTACACACGTCATACATCTCGCCTTGCTTACCCTACAAGGTTCCATCCAAAAAAGGTGCCGGAACTCCATTCTGGGCGTTCTATGAGAAAAAAAGCCATCTATCTATCTATCATCTATCTATCTATCTATCTATCTATCTATCTATCTATCTATCTATCTATCTATCTATCTATCGCAGTTTATAACATTTCTGAGTGAAAATAATAGTTTTAATTTAACACATTCCAGGTATTGTTTTGCCATTTATAAATTGTATTGTTTCTTAGCTGACAATATTGGGAAGATATTTAGATAATTGGCAGAGAAAATGAAATAATGGGTAATGAAAGTGCATTTTGGGGTAATAAATTAATCAGGAGGTCATTACAAATAAGACTTCTGCATATGTATGATTTAAGACCCAGACCTTCTTTTAACCTTTTTAAGTTACCTGTCTTGTTTTTATACATCATGCATGTAGTCCCATTATACCAGGGATAGGCAACCTTGGCTCTTTTAAGACTTATGGACTTCAACTCCCAGAATTCCTGAGCTAGCCTTGAAGTCCACGAGTCATAAAAGAGCCAAGGTTGCCTACTCCTGCATTACACTGATCAGGCTGGCATTGAGGTGCTTCCAGACACAATATCTAAAACTGTCAATTAAAAGGCAGCTATTTTATTTTTTCCCTCAATAGGTTTTTGATGGCAGGAAAAAGACAGACTCTTTAGAAACTATGAATCATTCAAGGTAATTTTAAAGAAAACTAAAACTGAGTGTAGCCAAAGTTTTGCTCTATTGGTCCTATGTTATTTATTGGGGATATTTTTTTACTTTTAATAGTCAGTCTGAATCTGGTTTCCTCTGATTTAAATCCATTACTCTGCATTCTGCAAGGAGAGAAAAGAGATACTGATCTTCAATATAATATTCTTTAAAATACTTGACTAATGTGTGCTACTACCCCACCTGATTTTTTTTCAAGGCTAATCTATCCAACTGCATCATTTTTTCTTCATTGATCTTAAAAATCATCCTTGTTGCTCTTCACCAATCATGTTTTAATTTCCCTGAATCTTTAAAGTGTAGTACTAGAATAGGATATAGTACCTGAGGTGAAATCTGAATAAAGTAGAATAAAATAGAACAATTTCTTCTGATTTAGAAATTACAGCTATAATTATGTAGATGGAGCCTAAAACTGCATTTCTCCTTTTTGCAACTGTATCATATTTATTTGCTGCTATCTCAGACTCTTAGTAGCTAACAAGCCATATTTTTCTTCAGTTATATCATATTGTTTAGTAGGAGTATCGAGCACTTTGTATTTGTTATGGCATTCTATTAAGAAACAAAGATGGACATTTTTAACAAAACTGAAGATCAGGCATTTGCTAGTGCATAAAACTCTATAGGCCTTAGTTATATAACTTGCTTATTCATTTAGGTTAGCATAAATAACTTGCAAGTATGCACATTTGAAATTTAGGGTAGAAAATTGCTGTTTTTCAGATCTTAGCAGAGGGGCCAACAAATTGGACTGATAAAAAAAAGAGGAGGAATCTAAGTAATAGAAAATATGGCTTCTGGTGGTATTCAGCTGCGCCGATGGCGGCTTTCTTTAAGCCATCCGCCCTGGGACTGTGTAAAAGCCAGTGGGGACAGTGAAGATCAGCTGTCTCACGGCTTAAAACCTCTTTCCTTGGGAAAAGAGGAGGAGGAGAGTTTCTCGGGTAAAGGTAGAGCTCCCCGAGACCCATATATTTTTAGGGAAGTCGGAGGGTAGAGTTTCCTTGGAGCCCGAGTTTTACTCCACATTCCAGGTCGCCTTTGTTCCGAACTTTTGGAACAAAGCTAGACGCCGCTTTCACATCTGCTTTTTAAAGTGAGATTGTGAGTATTTAAAAGCAGACGGAGCTGACCAGGAGAAATCAGAATTGGGACTATTTAGGACTTTAACTCCTTAGAAAACATCTTCTTCTTTAAAAAAGATTTTTTCTTTGTTTGAAGATAGAAAGGGAAAGTGACGGAACTTAAAGATGGCGCTCGGCTTTTTCTGCTTGTTGTAACAAAGTTAATACGAACATTCAATTTCAAAGGCAAGAACTTTCCTTTCCCCCTTTTTTGGGATTGTACTTTCTGTTTTTTTTTTCTTTTTCTTATTACTGATTGGAATTTATATTATAAGACTGTGGACTTTTAGGATTGTAACTCCCCTGATATTGTTTTAAAAATGGCTTCAAAAAGATTTGTGTCTTCGGTTCCAAAAGCTTCCATTTCCTCTCCGATGATACAGACACAGACTGCTTCTCAAACTAAGCCAAAATCGCCCCCTCCTTCTCCTCCACCACCTGCTTTTTCTTTTAAAGATTTACAAGATGCTTTAAAACAAACTGCTTCAGATATTAAAGAAGAGGTGGCAGATCTTTTGGATGTTAAATTGGCTTCAGAGAGGGCTCCAATGGCAGAATTATTGGAGGAGAAGAATAAAATCATGAGGGAAGATATTGTGTTTGCTTTTCAAGGTCTTGCTGTGCATATTGAGAGAATTGATGACAGACTGGATGATGTGATGGAAAATGCGGAGAAATTAGAATGCAGAGTTGATGAAGTTGAGCATAAGATAGAGATGACACAGGATGAATTACTTATTTCACAGTATAGGGATATGGAATTAGCTCTGCACATCAGGGGTTTAAAAGAAAACCCCCACGAGGATTTAAGAGAGTTGGTGGTTAAAGATATTGCTTTTAATCTGGGATGGAAGCCGGAAGAGATCTGGGATGGGATTGAAAAAAATTTCAAAGTGAATTTATGGATTGCCAGGCAAAGAAATTTACCAAGAGATGTGGTCATATATTTTTCTAGAAGATTAATTCGTAATGAAATTATACAAGCTTTTTACAAACAGAGATTCCAAATTGCAAACCAAGATGTTATAATTTTGAAAGAAATACCTCCCAAAATTTTAAGAAAAAGAAAAGAATTTACTTTTTTATCAGAGGAGCTTAAACATCGTCAAATCCAGTTTAGATGGGAAATTCCAGCTGGGATAGTGGTGAACTACCTAGGAACATGTTATAGATTAAACACAGTGTTAAAGGCAAAAGATTTTTACTCTAGCGTTCTGAAGGCTGTTTCGCCCGTATCTCCCCAAGCTAGCAAAACTGGAGACGAACAAGCAATTGGAGGTGCTATTGCTAGTGAGTTGCAAGTGGAGCCTGCTTTACAGGTTTTAGAGATAAAAGAACAAAGGATGACTCGTGCTGCGCATAAACGCAGGGAAAAAGAACAGAAGCAAAAGGCTAGTGAAAAAAATAGAAGGAACTGTTGCTACAGAGCCTGTGGGAGGAGCAAGACCAAAGAGATCATCTACAGTTGATCTACAAGTTATGCTTCAAAGGCTTCAAGCAGCTTCGGATGTCAAAGCTACTGACATGGAATGTTAATGGCTTGAACTCACCACAGAAGAGAAAAAAGTATTTCATTATCTGAAACAATATAACAATGATGTGATCTGTTTGCAAGAAACTCATATAACTTTGAAAGATTCTAAATATTTGATAAACTCTCGTTTAGGTTCGCATTTTATAGCTCCTGCCCCAGGAAAAAAGGGGGGAATTATAATTTATGTTAAAAAAAACTTATCGGCCAAACTAATTGACACTGATTCTCAAGGAAGATATGTTATTATCGAGTTAGTACTACAAGGCAAGAAATTCCTTATTGTTGGACTATATGCTCCAAATCAACAACAGAAACAATTTTAGAAGCTTTTGCATGGTAAAATAAATCAGTTGGATTATAAATCGGTTATTTTGATGGGTGATTGGAATGGAGTTTTGGACACAAGGAAGCATAAAAAGGGTTCTTTTAAAACTTTTAATCAAACCAGATTGCCAAAAGCTTTTTTTGATATGAAAGATGATTTGGAACTTACAGATATTTGGCGAGAGAGGAATTTAAATGAAAAAGACTTTACTTTTTATTCTGATAGACATCAATCATTCTCTAGGATTGATTTTTTTTTTATTACTACTGACTTCCTCTCTAGGGTTAAAAAAGTCAAGATTTTTCCTAGGACTTTATCTGATCACAGCCCTGTTTGGTTGCAGTTATTTACGGAAGATGGGAATAGAAGATCTTGGAGACTGAATGAAAACTTATTTACACGGGAGGAATTGGTGCAGAAATGTAGAGAATATTTGAAGAATATTTTTGTCTTAAATATGAATAAGCGTACGTCAAGGTCTATGGTGTGGGACACTAGCAAAGCCTATATGAGGGGGGGGTTGATTCATATGAATAAGGCTTTTAGGTCTAAATGGATTCAAAAACGCAAAGAAATTGAAGAAGATATCAAATCTAAAGAAAAGGCTCTTGTGTTAAACCCAATGGATAATAAGTTAAAGGTTTCTATAAATTTGCTTAGGGAGCAATTGA